AGTAAGAACCAGTTTTCAGATGGAAGTGATACATAAACTTTATTTAGCAGCAGACCATCAGAGTGGGATCAACGGTTCAGAGCAGTGTCTCATTGAAGGCTTTTTTTTTCATATTAGTACTTCACGTCCTCTCCATTTTCATAGAATTTCTGCTTCCTCCTCAATATGTGTGTGTGTGTGTTTGTGAGCTTCAAGAACCTCCTGTTAACTTGAAGCAAGGTTGTTAGAACTCACAGCTGAGAGATCTGCTGTTTGTCAACCTTGAATTACTCCCTTCTCATTTGTTAAAGGCACACAATGGACGACTTGTTAGAAAAGTAATTGCATTTAAAAACAACAGAGAGGAAGGAGGGCTGAAGTAATTCACACTTCAACATGCTGAACTCCACCCTGGAAAACAAAACCGAGTGTGGCTGCTTGTTCTTCAAAGTCTTCAGTGAAAGTGGAAAGTGGAAGAGGTGGAACATGGCTTTCTCCAACTTATGGTGTTTGGAGTGGTGCCGCAGACTGACAGCATTGTGGAAGCTATTAAAGCTTGTCTACTTTTCCAGATTCTTCCTGTCTCCTCAGCTCATTTAGCCCCACTCCCAATCCCATTTCACAGACTGCATTTGACGCCTCATCCAGGTGCTTTAATTTTTAATAAAACCAACACAGAGGCTGCTTCAACAATAGCCACTGTCAAACACTCATCTGCTGCTCTAACCACATATGTGCTAACTTTACAAAAAAATCCCTCCATGCATGTCTGCACACACACACACAGATACACGCACACATAGTGTCCAGAATGGCGCTGTCACGGTGGCATCACTCAAGCAGTGGGAGCTTCAGTCAGTTAGTCAGCTGGCAAAAGGCAGACGGTGTGAAGCCAACATGAGCCTCCCCACAGCGACAGAGTTAGAGAGGGATGAGAAGACAGACAGAGGCAAGTGGAGGAGAGACAGACAGAGAGGAGTGGACAGATGGAGAGAGAAGCGTGGAAGGATGGAGAAGGAGCAACACGGATGCAGATGGACGTCAGACAGCAGAATCAGAGTGGCAGAGCCAGCCTGCCTCACTTCAAACACTTCACGAAGTTTCAACAGCAGACAAGGCCTGCTCAGACGTAATGCGTGGTGAGGGCAGTTGAGGTCACACATTTAAAGCTGAGTTTAACCTGGTATTAACATGAGATTCGCATTTAGATACATGATCTGGATTTACAACTGTGTTCTTGTTATCTTGATTCTGCTGCATTGTGAGGGTCAAACCTTAAACTTGTTTTATTCAGTAGTTTTGGTAGTTGTTTTCACTGGGATTTTTACAGCAGCCACCTTTGATAAAAACTGTAATTTTTAGTTGCTGGTCTACAGCTGCCTAGATTGGTTAGTTTGTTTGTGTTATTGTGTGACTTTGGTGATGCAAACTAACGTGTTGAAACACCAAAGTCAGTCTGGTGTTTTTGGAGAGAGCATAGATTGATATAACAGTGTCAGTTCTCAGTCAGAAAGATGAAATAAAAGTTCCTCATGATTTTTCTGTGTGATCAATTTGATCAACCGTAGACGACACAAAAACTGCCATTTTGATACTTTGTGATAGTGTTGCCAATGTAACTCCATCTGCAGGAACAGGAATTATTTCAAACTGAATATTGTTTATTATTAATCATACAAAAGTGGATATAATGGTGGATGTTACAATATTTATACAGTATACACAATATATCAAGGTTGAGTTTGGTTTGATGCAGTTTGCATTTACACTATATGGAGTGGGAAAAGCTGGATGCTCCAACCTTTCTTCTGCTCACTTGCTAACAATTTTTTACCCAAATTAATTCATGTAACTGACTCAGTTATGGTGGTGTATGTTTTAAATCAAAGTCAGTTGAGCCACTCTCTCCATGTACCCCCTGGTTGGGGACAATCTAAATGTTTAAATGCTCTCATATTTGTCAATACCTCTTTTTAGTGATGCCACCGCATTCCCAGATCTCAACAGATAACCTTGTGTTGTGTACAATCTTATCAGAACCAACAGAACTGATCAATTAAGCTACTAAAATAAGAAAAAATAAAAGCAGAATTATCCTTTAAAGGAGGTTATTATTCTGAATGTTTTTGTGTGGAAATATTTCAATGTTTAAAAGGAGAGATTAAATTAAACCACAGCAACGTTTTTAACTGAAAATAGATATAATCCAAGCCGATATAAGACAGGCAGAAGAGTCAGACAGCTCACTGCTCACATTACTGAAGCTATTATATCTTTCTGTGTAAAGGTGTAATTGCAGTGACTTCTGCACAGCGTGCAGCTGCAGTTCTTGTTTGAAATTCTGTATGAAACCAGGTATGTTAGAGCAGATAGGCACACTGCAATAATCATGAATCCTGAGTCAGGGCTGGATTGGATTGGAACATAAATAGACTGGCCTGCTAAAATGCTCCATCTGTGAGGCAGGCCAGAGAAATTAATTCTTATTTGCTGGCTGAGATTTAAATTTGCTGTATCGTTATTTAGTGGAGAAAA